GTTTAGAACTACCGCTACCGTATCCTCTCCCACTAGAGTCAGCCTTCAACTATTGGAAGGCGGACTTTAATGGCCTCATTCGAGCAGCGAGCCAGATAGACTGGTCTTTATCACAGGATTCATCTATTGAAACCTGTTGGGCTATCATTAAAGAGGGAGTGAAATCGTTGTGCACCCGATTTGTACCCCTCAAATTTCGGAAAGTTGGGCCAGTCAAACCACATTGGTTTGACAAAGAGTACAACAAAATGGCCCGACGGCGACGTAGACTATGGAACAAATTCGTGTTATCTGGCTCTGATGAGGACTACAATGCCTACAAGGTACAACGAAATCGCTGCAACAACGCGAAAACAAGAAAACGCAGAAGCTTCGAAGAGGAGCTTGCAACTGCCGCAAAAACTGCTCCCAAGAGGATCTTCGCATATATGAAGCGGCGCCTAAGACCTATAGCTAGTATCCCAGTGTTAGAAGGCTCAGAAGGACAGCCTCTAACCTCGAGTACAGATCGTGCGTCAGCATTGGCAACGCACTTCGCCTCCGTATTCGCAAGTGACCAGGTGTCTGTAATGAGTTCGACGAGCACCGCTCCAGCCGAACTTAACAGCCTGGACTGCAATATTGAGGATGTACGCAAGATTCTAGCAAATCTTGACGGGACGAAACCTGCTGGGCCAGATGGTATACACCCACTAATCCTCAAGTCATTATCGACCATAATTGCACCTTCTGTAACTGAACTGTTTAACAGGTCACTATCCACTGGTCTACTACCGGACGACTGGAAATGCTCAGTCGTAAAGCCTATCCCGAAAGGTGGTAACCCAAGCAAAGTAGATAACTACCGGCCGATCTGCCTGACGGCAGTTTTGGCAAAGACGCTCGAGAAGATCGTGAAGAAGAGCCTTCTGCAACTTCTCGAGTCGAAAAACCTGTTAACCTCCGCACAGCATGGTTTCCTGAAAGGTCGTTCGTGCATCACCAACCTACTGTTGACGAGGCACGAATGGTTACAAGCGCTGAACAAAGGCCAATCGGTTGACGTCATTTACATTGACTTCAGTAAGGCTTTTGACAAGGTTAACCATGCAGTGCTCCTTGACAGACTGAGGATGTGCGGTGTTGGTGGTTCGCTGCACAAATGGATCAGCAATTTCGTTATTGATCGGAAGTGGAGAGTCCAGGTGGACAACCATCTAACAGACTGGTATCCATCGAGCAGCGGCGTGCCCCAAGGCACTGTACTGGGACCGATATTGTTTCTAATCCATATAAACGATGTGCCTCAGCTACTACAATCACATTGTGCTTTGTTCGCAGATGACTTGAAAGTGTGGAGAGTAATCCGCACACTCAATGATTGCGATTTACTTCAGCAGGATCTCGACCGCCTCCCAACATGGTCTGCAGAGGTTAACCTTCCGATCAACCCTGCCAAGTCGCAATTCATGAGGTTGGGTAAGTGTGATCACGGCCGAACGTACACAGTGGCTGGACAACCGTTGCATCCCGCTCCTTTCGTGCGCGACCTCGGTGTACTCTCACGCTGCGACCTAAAGTCCATTGACAACACGAATAGGCTGTACCAAAACAGCCTTCGTATGCTTTGGGCTCTCAGGCGCAGCTTTAGCACTTGGTCCGAAGAGATTGCCACTCGCCTCTTCGTCTCGATAATACGACCAATGCTAGAGTACGGCACTCCCGCATACTGTCCCATCACCCGGGGCGAAGTAGAAAAGCTTGAGCGGGTGCATTATGTAGCCTCTAGGCTGATTCCCAACTTACGAGGTATGCCATACGAAGACCGATGTAAGAAACTAGGGTTATACACCCTATCTTATCGTCGGCTGAGGGTTGACCTCATCATGACGCACCGGATATTACATCTGGGTGATTACCCCATGTTGAGACAACTACTTCATCTGCGCACACCAAGCTGCACGCGAGGACACCGGTATAAACTTATCGTCCAGGATTTGAAGCGGGTCGCCCATCAACTCTGTTTCGAACGCAGAGTGGTGAATGTCTGGAACGACCTGCCTCAGCATATAGTAGAAGCGAACACAGTGGCTAAATTCAAGATGCTACTAGACAAACAATTTGCAGAGGCAAAGTACGAAGAGTGAAACGATAAATAAAAAGTTCATGTCCGAAAACGACGAATGATGCAGCTACACAGAGCAACCTCTACTCACTGCTTCGCACCAGTTCTCAGTTCTCAGTTCTCACCAAGTTGCCCAAAGATGACACATTGGGGGGGGGGGGCACAGCTTTGTCTGACCGAGAACAATAGCCTGGAGGAGCGAACGAAACTCACGGTAAACCAGATAATCGATGGAATTGAAGTGTGCCCTAATGTGTCATATTTCACGTTCCAGTCGAGACTGTACTCTCAGAAATAGGGACTTGCCATGGAGTCACCCATATCCCCCGTGTTGGCAAATCTGTGTATGGAAGACTTTGAGAGGAGGGCGCTGACAAACTTCAGCAGTTCGCCAAAGATTTGGTGGCGCTATGTGGATGATAGATTTGTGATTATAAAACGGCTTATGAAGAATGAATTTCCAAAGCGTCAGAACTCCATTAATGGAAACATAAACGTCACTATGGAACTAGAATCTTACAGTGACACACTGCCATTCTTCGATTGCCTAGTTCATAGTAATGGTGAACGGTTAAAGACGATGACATATGGCAAGCTGACAAAACGGACGGAGTACTCTATTACAGTTCGGGTCATCCGAAACAAGTCTATGCCGCCATCGCATCCTCTCGATTTCACAGAGCCCACACTCTGTGTACAGAGGAAGAGGACAGGAAAGCCGCTCGTAAGGAGACGGTGAGCAAATTAGTAGACAGTGGATATTCGAAGTGGTTAGTGAGACGCCAGTTGCACGGAGCTCTAAATCCGCCTCCGCGACGCACAACAGAGTGGATTGGGACGGTAGGAATGCCCTATAAAAAGGGAACCTCGGAAGCAATCAGGAAAATTAGGATGGTTTTTCGAAAGAGTCAAAGGCTCGATTTAGCATTTGTGCGTTTGAAGGATCTGCTTCCAAGAGATAGGACAACAAATTGCGTTGATAGAATCAGTTGCAAAGGCTGTGAACACGAGTAGATAGGTCAAACAGCGAGAGAGCTACGCACGAGGATAGCAGAACACAATAGGCACGTTTCGTGTCCTCCGATAAGTCAGCCTGAATACGGGGCCCTACTATGAGATTCAGCAATGGCTGTACATGCGTTAGACACAGGATACGAGATGGACTGGGACAATGCCTAGATAATTAAGAGAGGATTAGAAGCAACAAGTGAAAGGTTGATTACTGTGGCGATTGGGACTACTAAGACTAATAACTATGTGAACCGAACGGACGGCGTGGCGTTATCAATCGTGTGGCGGGCTGTATTAACCCGGTCAGTCAGGAAAGGTGTCGGCAGACGAACTCAGGTCACAGCGTGAATCAGCAGTTGCAGGAACAGGAATGTCTCACATGTGAACGACCGGTGACGCGCATCAATGAGAAAGGTTCACTGCTTGTCGTTACACTAGAATGGCCGCTTGACCTATTGAACTGCAACACGGTTTTCCAATGATTCATGTTGTTCCTTGCCATCTTCACCATACTTTCTCATAGAAAACCGCGCCAATATTGTACCGATTCACTTGGCCTGAAGAAGCTCTTGCGTCAGGAGCGAAACTTTGCCTTTATAAAATCATATCTAAACCGATTTCATTCGAAACATTCTGAAATCATGAGATCCCAATTGTTTAAATGCATTTTTTAGGGTTTTGAATGGGAAAGGCTTTTATTATCGGTTATAGTGCTCAGGCAATTTTGGCTTCTCGGACCATAAGCCCTTCTTCGATTATTTTGGTATTTCGGCTTCTTTTTGAAACTTGTTTTTAGTTCACCAAAGGCACACCAATTTGTATTGCGAAAGCTTTTTTCATATCGATTAGCTGCTTTTTTTCCGATTTTTTTTCTAATCTCGAAATTGCAATGGATCGCTGTATTCACAATATTCGGTGGATGCGCTTATCTTTCGCTAAACTCCAGCTGTGAAATAGGATGAAGTTTCAGTTATTATATTCTTTTGTAATCCTAAGAATGACCCGCCGTTCACCTTCTCTTGTCATAATGTGTTAACGTTTGGCCCAGATGCACTGAAACCTCTAGTTCCGCTCACTTACATACTGTCATTTCGATTATTTTGTATCAGCTCAATATTTTCCCTAAACTGCCTTGCTAGTACACATATATGTCATTTTTTTCACTGACCTCCTATGCTTAGGTTCAGAACCTTTTACCTTTTTTGCTCAGTTAGTTGGAGAGTCTCTGTCACATGTTTTCCTTGTTTGTCTCATATTAACTCGGGTTTCACTCTTTCCCGGGCTCAGAATGACATGGGGAAGGATTAGACTTCGTTTCGTTTAAACAGTGAACGCACATTAAAATGAACCGAAATGAGGTCGATTTTATCAAACACTTTCGTACCCAGAAATGTACGTGGAATCTGGTACACAACTCCCTTATTGGCGGGCCAACTAGTAATCGAATTCACCAACTTACAAAATGTCTCGCAACCTTCCTTACTTGTGCTTGCTAGAAATGCCGAAAATTCAGCTGTGCTCTGGAGCATCCGGTATATATTTCCGTTATGATGTTCAACGTCATTTGCTACTGAGGTTTCTTCCAAGTGAGTAACAGCCCTTATTAACATACTCTAAAAAAGAAAGTTCACTTTATACACAAGGGTGTGTTAAATAAGAATAATACGTCATTATTTGTTGCAGCTTGGAATGAGAGCGCGTAGTTCTGCTTATGATCCGCCGCCTTCTCCCAATTGGCAGAAAGTGTAAGCGCAAGGTTGGAACGTATCTATATGTCTGATTTCACTCAACTGGTCACAAGCGCACTTCTACCTGACCGTCATTATTTTCTCTCACCTCTGTTTCTAAGGTACGTAAGTGGTAACCAAAAAACGGACCAGTTTCTATGTTTATTTTCTACACCTACACTAGCAACCAGACACCACTTGGAGGTCGCCTATCTGACGTGATTCAGCCACTGGATACTGTCATTAATTTCGTTTCATCATCTCAGAATGACATGGGCAAATTAGACTTTGAAAATACACACATCAAGAAACGCGGTACAAAGATCCATTTTGTCCATCACACAGGCGCTCGAAAATCATGTGGAATTTGGTGCACAAATCATTTTGTGGTACGTTTTTAACTGTTTAGCTACTTTGGTGATCATTTGCTCCAGCTACCCACGCAGTAATCTTGACATATAAGCTCGGCCGTGGAGGTCTCGTGAAAGACGTCTGGCCGGTGCGTCTTATCTCCACATGATGAGCAAATTGGCCTGTTCAATGTTTCAGGTCCCTCCTTATTCTATCCTCCGTCGTTTTATTTTAACGCAGCTCAAGCGTGTATAATGAACTAAGAAGAAAATATATTGATGTTTAATACTATTGCAGGAGTATAGGTCATTAAAAAACATTCGCAAAATGCGCTGTCTCTTGTTTCAGATTGCAAAATATGTTTCTTCCTTGACTGAGGAGATGGAAAAGAAATTAGACAATGTCTTGGGTCGAATCGAAGTTCCCCTGGATTGCCGTTTCTCTTCCATTCGCACCAGTGAGACGAATATTGGTAATTTTCTATGTGATATCATAATGACTGGAGTGGATGCCGAATTGACGATAATAAACTCGGGCACCTTTCGTGCAGACCGTATTATACCCCCTGGAGAATTTCGCCTACGCGACTTGGTCGGCATACTTCCCATGCTTGATCCTCTCGTTCTGCTGGAAGCAACGGGAAAGCAGGTGTTAGAAGCACTGGAGAATGGTGTATCCCAATATCCCAAACACGAAGGTTAGTCAACTCGATTGCGGTGCATGCTCAAGCACTCTTCTTGTAATAGGACTTGAAGGAATGGGAAAGCAAGCTGAAATGCTTTTTAAACTGCGTGTTGCTGTCGATCCTTCATTTCCTTCGTCATTACAACACGTATTGAACTTTGTCCCCTGGCTGCTGCATCATGAGAAGACGGATGTTGCAAGATGATATCATTTCCTGCTCTCTGATCATATGTAAACGCGCAACCTTTTAGAACGATCAACGATGAAAGGGAAACAAAGTTTGAATTTTGCGTAAGTGGGCACATACCGTCATAGACCACAGCAGAATCACAAGTTGTGAAGCAAGTGTTACGGTCCCCAAACGAAGCTTGATTGTGACCGTCAGCTGTATTTTCACACAAAGATAAGGGCGTGTGCGATTAATGGCTACGGCCTCAGCAAGCTTGAGTAGTTTGGCATTTGTATTGCGGTAGATAATCCTAAACTCCATTTTCGGGTCAACTTGATGACATGTGCTCAGTAAGTGCTTAGCAATCGGCGAGGTCGGCATTTTGAAGCTTAACGTCTGTCCTCGTGTTTGACTTCTCGTAACGGCATCAACTCACTTCACAATGTATGCACCGACCCGCTTACGTAGACGCCGATTCTTTCTGCCGATGTAACTACTTCCTTAGCTACAGTCGAAGTGGTAAACGCAATCTGTTGTGGTGTAGATCGCTTGGGTAAGCTTAACCGGAGGCGTTGGTAACTTTCTGGTTGTCCAAGAGGGACCAGTTTGGCAGCACTGAATGCTCATCGAATTACTTTAGCTACACGTCACTTGAATTGCTATGCCACGACATGTCTTTGAATGGCAACTGGAGATAGGCGGGCATATTGACACGGTAGACGGCTTCCCGTGTTCTCTTGCATCGAGCGACTGGGGAACGTGCTAAAGACTACAGGATAGCCGTTTGCCCACAGCGTCGGTCTAATAAATTGCATTTCAGACTCCAAACATCCGGGGTTTCATATTCTACGAGCTCTTTAGAACAGGGTTTTGACGAGACAACGTTTATATTGGACAGATGTAAAGCTATTTTAATGTTCATATAGTCCTGTCCAAGTGATTTTTCGGTAGACAGATAGCCGTATCGAGCCGTCAGTTATTCTTGTAAATAGCACATCCAAAAAGGCAAGACAGTTGTTATTTTCTAGTTCACATGTAAACCAGACATTTGGTTGTATGTTGTTCATCGCCTCTAGAAAGGATTTTGCGGCATTGATGCTTGGAGCGATTACCTGGGTGTCATCAACGTACCGATTGCACAGTCACATCTGGTCAAGGTGTAACTCACAGCATGATTCGACCATTGCCATGAAGACAACTGTTAGCGTAGGGCCAAGTGGACTTCCCATAGCAACGCCGCCCATTTGACGGTAGGACTCACCTTCAAACAAGAAGTGAACATTCTCAGTGCATAATAAAATTAAATCATTCAGCTATTCCATGGGTATCGGTAAAGCAACTTTCCTTTCTAACACACAATCACATAAGTATTTCACTGTCTCTTTTACCGGAACGTTGGTAAACAGTGATTGAACATCAAGAGAACACCTTATCCTATCAGCAATATTCATACCTTGCACATGTTCCATTAATTCGGAAGTGTCTTTCACGGTGCGTTTAACGACCATCTGCCTCACTGATGCAAGTTTTTCAACTAACCAACGAGTGGATTCGTGGTACGGGGAGTTAGGCTTGGACAGTACAGGCCAGAGGGGAGTGCCCTCCGTATGGATTTTTGGCAGGCCGTACATCTGAGGGGTGCAAGTACCCATGTGTTTAAGTGCATTGTGCGTTTTATCTGTCAGTATTCCGTGTTACATTTTCAATTTGCCGGTCACCAGCTTTTCAACTTGAGCTAAGTCGATTCCGCTAGTGTCCTTCTAAAACTTACATGTATCACATAAAAGTCCATTCGTCTTTTTTATCTAGTCAAACTTATCCATGATGACGACTACAGTAACTTCGACCGGTTTTATAATCATCAAACTCTTGGATTTTCGAATCATTTAATTCTTTAATGTGCTGTTTAGCTAGGCTGAAAGTTTGTGGGAACGGAGCCTTCATGAAGCCGTTTGCGATCTCAACGAGCTTCACCTTCAGCCAGTTGTAAGCTTCGAGAGTTGCTTGACTCAACTTCGACAATTGTTCAACCAGCTTTTCGAATTGTGCTTCTACATGGACTCGGTCAAATTTCTTAGGTGGGCCTTTGAACATCAGACCGAATGATAGGGCTTCCATATGCATCTTGTTCAGCTTCACAGAGGACAAGTTACGCACATGCTACTGTATATCATCATGAAAAGCGGTCCCATCGGCGTTTGACAGAAATCTCTGTTGTGCCTTCATCAGTGCCCACTTCGTTCTATCAACGAGAGTTTTAAAGAAGTTAGCGAATTTACTCTGACCGACTAACGAGAGTTGCTCGGTGATCATACATGTCGTTGATGTATCTCAATCAGTTGTAAAAGCGTTCTATTAGCCTACTCCAGATAGGAGTTAGCAAACCGTTTCAACTTCGTGTTAGTAGACCTCAGATTATTACGGCGCAAACACTTGCAGAATTGGCAGGGGTACCGAGCATTGCGTTTGCAATCAGATAGAAAACGAATGCGTAATTTGGCAATATTGCATTTAATGTTCACGAGTCCATCAAGGACTTTTATCGCGTCCATCAGGAGTCTTCCTTTAAGAAATTTGTAGCACTTATGGTTCTGCTGTGGTCTATGACGGTATGTGCCTACTTATTCAAACTTTGATTCCCTTTCATCGTCGATCGTTTTAAAATTTTGCTGGTGTGCATGTGCTCAGCGAGCACGGAATGATATCATCTTGCAACATTCGTCTTCTCATTGTATTGCTTAGAATGATACAAAGAACGTAGTGCTTCAAATACCTATTTAAAATATCTAAATAGTGCCCTTCATACCTTGCATGATGTTTGGGAAGCTTGAGCCCTAGAGTGTGATCTGTATCCCATTATTCGATCATGACTTTCCTTCGTACTGGCAGCATTTCTGGTTCTGGCACTCGTTCAAGCTGAGCCACAGTTCGGTCAGGTGCTTACCTTGACCTATCTTGCCATTGATGATTGCTGTCTGTCCGGATATGGCTTTTACGACCCCATTATTGAGACTCTGTTGCAATTTCACGCTAACCACAGAGTCAATTATCATCCAGCCGCACTGGAATGACTGTCGTTGGCAACAACTAAGTAGCAAAATCGTGGTCACTTTCCTGGATTGATCTTTGCATAACAGCAGGCTGTCTACATGTTAACTGCAGCATCACCGATAGAATTCAGAATACCAACGCAATGTCATCCCCGCTGACTGGCCGGCTGACAGCAGCTGTAAATCGGTCGCTAAAGGCATTTACCTCGAGCTTCACTATACCTTTAGGTAAATGCGACAATTTAGTTATCTTTAACCTTACTGCGAATTTCGGCGTCACCGTGTCGGTCATCACACTACAACCGAAAGTCATGGACGACGGATATAAATTTCTGTCCTCTGGACAATTGTCCTTTTCCCTCCTCATTGTCTTCAGACGCACGAGATGTTCTACTACGTAACGCCCCATGCTGCTTCGAGTGATTGACCGCTTGCATCTACTCAACCGTCAATGTAAGCGTCCCAATAGGTTACCGAGGCCAAGAGATTATAAGACCGCTATTGAGAGAAGACATGATCAATTTTTGAGAGGTCAATCGCACTCATTTGTTGTCCACCCCATGGTCTCGAACATCAGTGGAACATTTGCCGTACGCAATCCTCTAACGGGCCAATCAAGTCGGTTTCATCCATCAATCCCCGAATGGTCCCTTTTCTAGTCTCTCTCTCGGACAGTTTGACCGTTGTCTAGGCTCTCCGACCGACTTGGATTTCACGAAATTGCCAGGTTGTCTTTAGGCGATGGCCCAAACTTAGTCATCGTGGTAACTGTTAAACCTAGTTTTCTTAACACACCTCTCACCAGGAAACGACCACAAGTTCTGTGATTCAACCAAACTGGCAATCTTGTTCAGCCCTGGGCTGTTGAACATTTTACGAGGAAGGTGGGTTGACACCAATCATTAGGTTGCAGAGCGCTATGAAGCGTTGGGTGGTGCATTTTCATAGTTATCCCACGTATGCGCCACCGTCCGACTGGGTCTAGCACGTACAACTGTGTTCTCTCTGTTATACTTAAGAACAAAGCACCAAAATGGAAGTGTCGCGATCTAGCACTTGTGGTTACGCAACTTTCGCGCCTCAAACGGACTTCCCCCAGAGTTGAATAAGTATGCTGGCATGCTGACTGCCATTACATTGTCATCTCGGTTTTCAAAGTTGAGCCTAAAGATCATATCAAATTACCTCGAGCCAATTAAAGTCTTGATATTACCGAGGTGTATGGTCTTAATCACGCCATCCAAGGTTGGACAGTCTCTTGTTAGACAATTTGAACTACAGACATCCGCTCTTCCTAGGTGACTATCATCGACTCGCAAACCACACCTCGTTAGAGAACAGGCTGATTTCTTCTCCTGTGTGAATGGAATCCGCATACCGCTCCAGATGTTTGTACTACGTAGCTTCTGCCCGATGCATATTACTGTCGAATTAGCCGACACTCTAGCTGTATTGAACTCGGTCCACCATTGCGCGTTGAGATATAGAATCCCGTATCCTTCAAGCATCATAGTCCAATGTTTAGAAACAGGTGGAAAATCACGACATTCTATCTTAACACACCAGCAATACAAAACGAAGGTGTCATATTGTACTCATTCTGCTTTACGTCTGACGTAGCACATACTGTTTAAGGACCGCAAATTATGTGGTATAAATCTTGCAAAAACTGGGAAGCGATTGGATTTGATTGTGGTGACAAAATCATCTAATCCGTTGACGTCCTTCCGCTTATTCAACACGCTCCGTACAGTCTGGTGCTTGGTGCACGTGCTTACGCTATAGACTGAGATC